AAAAATAAAAGAAGTCACATGTACAATTTATAAATAATAAATCTTAAACCAAATATATATCATTCACACAATAAACAATTTTTTTCCCTCCCTTGCATTCTACGGCAATAATGAGTACATACAACTTCAAATTTTGATTTATTTTAGCTTCTTTTCACTTTCAATTAGTATTTTCAAGCTACAATCTTTATTTATCATATAGATTAACTTTAGTTTCAAACTCTAAATTTAACATAATAAGAATTATAAGTCAAAAGTATAAATATTAAGATATTAAAATAAATATAATACCATTACTCACTGTTTTTTTTTTAACAAATCAAAGAAGAGTATTATGGGGATTGTAAACCCAAAATGCTGACATATTCTTTAAAGGATTTCCGTTCTATAATTTAATTTATTTTCATTATTGATTTTTTGAATACATATTTTTCATTATTTATTATTAATTATTTAACACTATTTAATTTTTTAATTGTACATGAAACTAAATTTTAGTTCTCTATTATTATTTTATATTATATCTAAGTTTAGATTACAATAGATAATATTTTATTAAATTTTTAATAATTTTATTTAACTTTAAATCGAAAATAAATAATATTTTATTAAATTTTAATGAAAAAATTAAAATAAAATATCATTCAACAAATACATAAGTATATACTGGTAAAGTACTTAGTATTTATTGAGTTAAATACCAAATATAAGTTTTCAAATATTAAGATAAATATTAAATTTGAAGAATTATATTTAAAAATTTTTAAATTAAATATCAAGTATAATTTACATCTGACTTGAATCCAAAAAAACCCACCCACAGCGCAAAAAATGAATGAAGCCTGAAAACACCAAAAAAAAAAAAAGGGAATAGGCACAGCAATTTCCGTTTCATTGGGCTTATTCCATCGGTTCTCAATTTTTGGACTTAAAAATCGAGAATCTCCCCACTGGGCCTACAGTTATAAGTCATAACAGTAACCTAACCCACTGACCTTTTTTTTTTTAAAAGAACCTGTCAAATGGGTTTCAGGTTTGGACAGCTGGAGTTTTTTTCATTTTTAACGGTTGTGGTTAAAACCGTCCACCACTAGCTGAAAGTACTTT